AGAAAGCAAGCCGCCAGGTCCGGGACTCGAACATCAGTCGGCCATGTGGGAGTTCAGTGCCCTTAACCACCATGCCACTCAGGCCCCCTGCCTTACTTATTTTTTAAAGTTTTTATTTATTTATTTTTACTGTAAGGTGTGTGCACTTGCCAGAGAGAGGGAGAGAGAAAAAGTGAAAAAACACCCCTCAGCAGGGTAGGGTGGGGTGGGTGGTGGCCACACTGTAATCTCTTCTCCATTTTCCCTTTGGGATAGTGGACATGCGTGCAAACGTGCCTGGCGTGTTTGGTGTTTTTTTGTTTTTTGTTTTTGTTTTTGTTTTTGAGAGGTTTTTGCTATAGGGCGCATGCACTCGCCAGAAAGACAGAGGGACAGAGAGACAGAAAGTGAGAAATCACCCCCCGGGGGGGGGGTGGCCACGCCGCAATCCCTTCTCCATTCTCCTCTCGGGATCTTGGGCACACACGCACCCGGCGTGAGTTTTAAGCTACCAGGTCCGGGACTCGAACCGCAGTCGACTACGTGGGAGTCCAGCGACATAGCCATTACGCTAACTGCTGGTCTTCCTGGCATGATTTTCAAGCCACAGGCTCCAGGACTCAGTTGGCCATGTGGGACCCAGTCACCTTAACTTATACGCCACTTGCTGGCCCCTAGCCTTATTTTTATAATAAATTGTTTTTCAAGTTTATTTATTCCATGAATGAGAGAGACAGATAGATACACCCAACAGGGTCTCAGTGCCACGATCCTTCTCCCCGGCCTCTGTCACCTCCGGGTCATGGGCAAGTGTGTGCCCTGTGTGCCAAGCGTACTCAAGGAGATCTCTGGACTTGATCTGAGGACCTTCCTGTGAGATTGCCTCACACAGCATCACATTTTAGCGTTCCACCATTGTCTGACTCCTGAGTTTCACCTTTTAAAAATGGGGGAGTGGAGGGCCAGCTACTGGTGTGGTGGTGAAGGTGGCTGGATCCTACCTTGCCAACTTCACAGTTCAAGTCCTGGACCCATGCAGCTTGGAAGAGATGCCAGGCTCCTGTGTGTGCACGCCCGAAATCCTGAGAGGAGAATGAAGAGACTGCAGCATAGCCATCCCCTCTGGGGACTGCTTTCTCACTGCCCCTCCCCCCATCTCTGTCTCTTGTGAGCACACGCACCCTTTAGAAAATTAAAAAGAAAAAAACTTAAAAACAGGAGTTGAAAAGATAGGAATAAACGTTTTAATGTCAAGAAGAATAAATAATGTTAAGAAACAATGGACAAGGAAACAGTTCTCCTGGTGACCTACAGATGGAATAGAAGTAGGAATGAGATTTCTTAAGGGAAACGTTGATATGTTACTTTGGTTTTTGGAACACTGAGAATGTTCTGCCTATTCAAAGCAAAAATATTCAGTGTCTTTTTCTTTTTTAATTTTTTAAAATTGTATATATATCTTTTAAAATTATTTTGTTTATTCACTCATTTATTTAAATTTGACCAGAAATAGACACAGAGAGAGAGAGAGGGACAGTGAGAAAGCAAGCCACCAGGTCTGGGACTTGAACCGTGGTTTGTCATGTGGGATTGTCCAGCGCCTCAACCACCGCGGCACCTGCTGATCCCCAATGAGTCTTAAATGAAAAACACACACAAAAAAACAAACAAAAAGAAGGGAGTTGAAAACTGTTGACCTATTTTAGTGTTTTTTTTTTTTCCACTTGGGGTAATACACCCCTGGAGGAATAGTGCCTGAGGATCTGGTTTAGTGGGCGGGCCAGAGGTGTTAAACATCCCACTTGACCAGGAGGGCCCCAGTTGACAAACCCTGATAGCATGAAAGCATTTTCTTGTCCACATGAGAAAACTGAGGCCCAAAGTGAGAGGCATCTAGCCTCCTAGGGCTTGGCCTCCTGGTTCCAGTGTGATGGGATGGGGCCCAGGCCAAGCAGGGCAGGCAGGCAGTCAGGACGTGACCCCAGGAACCATTGGCCAATGGGTAGTCTGACCTCCTTGCAGGAACACCAGACTGTGGTCTACCAGATGATCCAGCAGATCCAGCAGAAGCGGGAGTTGCAGCGGCTGCAGATGGCTGGGGGCTCTCAGCTGCCCATGGCCAGCCTGCTGGCAGGAAGCTCCACCCCACTGCTGTCTGCGGGCACCCCTGGCCTGCTGCCCACAGCATCTGCCCCACCCCTGCTGCCTGCTGGAGCCCTGGTGGCTCCCTCGCTCGGCAACAACACAAGTCTCATGGCTGCAGCAGCTGCGGCAGCAGCAGTAGCAGCAGCAGGCGGACCACCAGTCCTCACTGCCCAGACCAACCCCTTCCTCAGCCTGTCGGGGGCGGACAGCAGTGGCAGTGTCCCCAAAGGAGGGGTGAGTAAGGGGTCCAGGTCCTTCCCCTCTTCCCATCTTCTGAGGGATGGGCAGAGATGGAGCATCACCAGCTGCATCAGCGGGGTGGGGTGGGGTGGGTACACAACCCCGGGGTCAGTGGAGTGCCCTGGCTCTAGGCTCTGTGGGTGCTCTCCTGCAGAGCCAAGAAAGACCCACTCTGGGCGTGGGTAATAATGAAAGGACCAGTTTGAAAACAGCCTTCCTCGGGAAGACCAGGGATGATCTCCTTTCCAAACTGACCAATTAGAAAAAGATGACCGCCCTGGATGGGCCAATGGGAGAAAGGCCCTTCTCCTGAGGGCACAGAGCCCGAGATAGCTCCAGCCATCATTGGCACATGCCCATCAGCTGGGCACCCTTCTGCAGAACAACTTGTCCACCCCCACACATTGGCCCTGTTGTGCACTCACCAGAGCCCGGAAAGCTGCTCTCAACTGGGCCTTGGGCCTGATACCGCCAAGACTTCCAGCCTCCCTTCCTTTCTTTCCAGACCGCTGACAAAGGAACCTCAGCTAACCAGGAAAAAGGCTAACTGCACCCACATCCCTGCTGACCCCCAAATGGAGGGGGTCCTAGCCTGGAGTAGGCATCTGCACCCAGACACTGGAGAGGCCAGCCCAGAGCCTGAGGTCCTGGGAGTGTGGGGAGAGCCTGGTGCTGAGAACTGAGGCTGAGAGGAGAGCCCGTGCCATCTGGCCCCGACCCTCTCTGTACTGCCCCCTTTGTGAGACGCTCAGAGGGAGGACAGGCTCAACACCTGCCTGGGAGCTCCCCACTCAGCAAATGTTTTGAGGTCCCCCAGAGAGCAAAGTGGGCCATGATGTGGGAGAGGGGGGGGTCAATGGGACCCGCCACCTAAAATGGATCAGCACTTGAACGAGAAGCAGTGGAGGGACAGGCCCTGGGCCTGCCCTGTGTGGAAATCTTAGGAAGAAGGGCTGGCCCGACTTTACCTGCAGTTTCTTCCCAGCTGAGCAGATGGCAGAGGGGTCCCTTGGACTGTTTTGCCCCCTTCCTCGCCCCCCAGGGATCACAAGCTGAGCTTGTAAAGCCCACAGGCGTGGGGTGCTGCGCTGCGGGCGGGCTGCGGGCCCTGTGGAAGAGGTCCCTGTGATAGGGAGCGGGAGGCCCCAGCTGTCCTCGGTGTCCTGCCCTTGTTTGCACTATTGGATTTAGGAGTGCCGAGGGTGGGGAGATGGAGCTGCCTGACTCACAGCGCGAGTGCACGTGTGTGTTTGTGTGTGAGTGTGCGCGTGCGTGCATGTCTATCTGTCTTCTTTCTGTCTCTCTCTCCCTGTCCCCCGGATCTAGGCCGCCTAAGGCAGGGATAGGAGCACTGTTCAGATGAAGCAGCACCGGGCAGGGAGGACCCCCCAGCTCTTGTTTGCACCCTCCCCAGCTCACCAACTCTGGTCCCTCTTGGGGCCTGAATGATTATCAAAAACCAGAACAGTACTCCCATATTGGAGAGTAACTGGGGGCTGGGGGCTTTGAATCAGGGTACTATCCTGCCTTCCCTTCCCCAGACCCCACATGGTCTCAGGGCCCCCTCAGGGCCCCCCTGTCCCCACCTATAGTTTGGTCCTTCTTCCCTGGCACAAGGGGAGCCCCAGGGATGAGGGGAGGGATGGGGGGGAAGTGCCACTTGTTTTAGCAAAAGCCTCCTTCCCAGAATGAACCAGCCTGCTTCCTGCACCCCACTCCACCCCACCAACCAGGGGAGCTGCTTAAGCTGACTTAGCAACTGTCCCTTCACCCACCAGCTATTTCCCAGGGTGTAGTGGGCAATTCTCACCTTAGAAGAGTGTCCCGTTCCCCCCCCCAACACAGGGCCTTCGGTGGCAAGGGCCAAGTGGGCCAGCTCTGGGGGAGAGGCAAGGTTGGAACCTGGTCTGGTTCCTTTGCACTGGGGTTGGAGCCAGGGTAGGCCTTTCCAGCTTTCCCTGATGCTCATGTCTTGTCAGTCTCTGCATGTGTGGGTTTTTCTGTGTGTGTTTCCGTTTGGGTTTTTGTTGTTGTTGGGTTTTTTTGGTTGTTTTTTTTTTTTTTTTTTTTAAATAAAGAAAAGAAGATTTGTATATTTTTGGCAATGACAGAAACGTAGTGCAGATATATTTTTGCCTGTGCTGCTCAACTGTTTTTTTTTCTGATACTGAAAATAATATTAATATTCCCGTTGATAAGACTTTGTAAGATGTTAGGGCGCTGATAATGGAGGGGGGGTGGGAGTCTTTCAGAGTCAATTTCTTAGGCACTTGCAAGGGCTTGGGGGAGGGGGAGGCAGATGTGATGACCTCAGAGATACTCTTTATTAATGCTAAGTATCAGCTAGAAAGAAATGATAGCCGTCAGCATTTTATTCATCTTAATCTATTAAGCTCTCTTAACTCCCTGCACCCAAACCACTGAGAAGATACATAACCTTCCGAGATTCTTAGAGGAGCTGCTTATTCACACGCACTTAGAACCGAAGTTCACGTCTATTCAGGATGGTAAGAGCAGTGCAGACACTGAAGGCCTGCTGTGTGGAAGAGGGGTCCAGAAGACCCGTGCACTGAACCGGGACACTTGCCCCCTTTGCGCCCCCAACCCAGGCTTAGGGGTTTTGTCTCCAAGACTGTTTCCCGACGTTCCCAAGCCCTTTCCTTCTCCAGGCCAGGAGACTGTGGCAGGTAGTTATTTAAAGGCACCCAGGCTGAATCTGGAGTGGTGCTGCTCCCCCAGAGGGAGAGGGGCATGAGAGGTGGTGGCATCTCCTTCCAAGGGTTCTTAATCCTTGGAAAGGTCTGGAGATCTACTGGGAGCAGGATACCCATGCAGGAGGATGGCTGTAATGACCTCACCAGCCTCTCCCAGCCTCAGTCCCTTTTTGGAGGATGAATCTAGGTGGGGTTGTGCATGGGGAGGGCTGCAGTTTTGTCTGGGGGAGGGGAAGGGTTTGCTGAGTGGGAGTTGGAAGATACCTGAGTGGAGCTCTGTCACCACCCTTGGCAAGGTATGAGTGGGCGTGCATGCGGGCTGCAGCTGGCTATGGAAGTCAGCTGAAGGGACCTGTCTAGGCTTGCTTCACGGGTGTCAGCTCCAGGCCTGGGAGGGGCCAAGCCAGCCCTTAGGACCATGGCTCTCCTGCCCCCTACACAGCTCTGGGTGGCTCTCTGTGCCTGTGTGTGTGACATGGTGTGAGTGCAGGGCTGTACCCAGGATGGGAAGGCCGTGTGTAGCACTGACTGACCTTGCTCAGAGCTGATGGATCCTCACCATAGACAATGACACTGTAAGGTTTTTTTGTTTTGTTTTTTGAAACTTCGTGTTTGCGGGTTTTCTCCCTCAGGCTCCTGGGTCTGTTGCTGCCTCCAGGTGCCCTGACCTCGAGGTTGTTCCTGTGCAGAGTTCTAGGGGCCTGCTCACCTGGACTCTGGGGAAGGGCCTAGACAAGCGCAGGGTGTCGAGCCAGGGCCCAGCTCTGAGGTGTAACCTCCACACTTCCCTTTCCTAGACGGGTTTTTAAAGGTGTAGGCTCCCTTGCTGCTTCCAGTGGGCCAGAGTTGGGGGAAGCAGTTTCCATTTCTCCTCATGGCAACTTAGTTTCCCCGAGAGGTGCCTACAGGAATCGAGGTACTCCAACTTGGAGTTTGGGGGAGGGGCACAAAGTGGTCCTCCAGCCACATCAGTCTGGGTTCAAAGCAAGTCTAACTCCCAACCACTTGGTCTTGATCTACTGAAGAGGGGGACTGAGGGGCGCACTCATTCTCCTTTATTCACTCTAGCCTGACTTGGGTGGTAGGACTGAGGCCCCCAGCCCTGGCTCCCCTGCTGCCCACCCCTACCTTCCCAGTTCCCACTAGCAGACTTCCTGGGGAGCAGGGAGGGGAAGTCAGAGATTGCAAACCCAGGGCTCCTTTTTCATTCTAAACCTTTTTATCCTCAGCCCAAAAGGCAGTTTTCCCTCTGTCACCTCCAAGCCTGGAATTGTGCATAACCCGGATCTTGTATCTTTGTATAACGGATGTTATTTGTACGAAGGGCAGTTCGTAAACAGCACTTGTTCTTTTAATAAAAGAATGTTTTACAAAAAAAAAAAATATCCAAAGAGACCCTGCTTAGTCTGGCTGTGTTGAAGGGCAGGGGAGGTGGGATGCCAACAGTGGGCCCCTGCGGGGAGCCCTTGTTTCACCATTCAGTGGTTTGCAAACCAGAACGCAGGGCATAACTAGTGCGGGTGGAGAACGACAGCCCCTGGGCAGCACCCCGAGAGGGTGACGTGGGGCCGGGGCAGGTGGGGCTCTGTCTCCAGCAGCTCCCTAAGTGATGAGATGCTGCCTTGGACTCCACGAGGGACTCCGGTCCGGGGAGAGGCCCCGCAAACCCTGGTGTGCCCTCGCAGACCGGGAGTCGGCAGGCCAAGCTCCGCGCGGGGAATTCGGCAAACGCCCAGACCCGGCGAGGCCCTGGAGGGGCGGGGCAGGTACCTCTGCTCGGCTTCCGGACCCCGCCTGCTCCTGGCCCCCACCCAGGGGACGATGCTGCGGCTGACGGCGCGGGACGCCTGGGTGAGCGCCCCCACCCCAACCTGGCGGCCGTGAGGACTTGTCTCCGGGCCCGGGGCCTCCCGCCCGCCCCTCGGTGGAGCATCCCGGATCCCCGCGCGGCCGCGTTCTTTACAGACCTCGGCCCAGCGCGCTCCCCTGCACAGCCTTTTCCTGAGCGCCTACGGGATGCCAGGACCTCCCAGCAAGCCTCCTTCCCTGTGACGCCTTCTTAGGTCTCCCACGCCCCGTTAGCCCTGTCATCTCTGCCTGGCTCCCCGGTCCTCCCCTTTCCACTGATACTATTTTCTGTTTCCAAACCGCTCTCTCCTGATGGCTTCATGCCTTGAAGAATGTGAACCAGAGGCGGGACATCTCCTCCTGGCTGGTGAGTACCTACCCCAGCGTCCCTCCCTGCACCAGTCCCGCAGGCTTGGAGACCTCAACGGCAGAGATCGGGAGTGGCACCGAGAAGGAACACCCTAGCTCGGGACTCCAGCCGCCCTGCCGCCCCGGCCTCCCGGCCTCCCGGCCTCGGCCTCCCGAGGCCCAGCCTCCAGCTCTCACCAGGACTGGAGGGTGCAGGGAGACGGCGGGGCTCCCGGGTTGACCTGACAGCGCCTGCCTCCTAAACCAAGCCCCAGGGGTGGCTGGCAGGATCCTGGCCGGGATGGGAGCCAGGCTTTTTCTTTTAATTTTTTTTTTTGAGAGATTTTTGATAAAGGGCGCGTGCGCTCACCAGACAGACAGAGAGAGACAGAAAGCGAGAAATCCCCCCCCGGGGGGGGATTTCTCGCTTTCTGTCTCTCTCTGTCTGTCTGGCCTATGATCCCGAGAGGAGAATGGAGGAGAAGGGATTGCAGAGTGGCCATCCCCCCCCCGGGGGGGGATTTCTCGCTTTCTGTCTCTCTCTGTCTGTCTGGCCTATGATCCCGAGAGGAGAATGGAGGAGAAGGGATTGCAGAGTGGCCATCCCCCCCCCGGGGGGGGATTTCTCGCTTTCTGTCTCTCTCTGTCTGTCTGGCCTATGATCCCGAGAGGAGAATGGAGGAGAAGGGATTGCAGAGTGGCCATCCCCCCCCCGGGGGGGGGATGGCCACTCTGCAATCCCTTCTCCTCCATTCTCCTCTTGGGATCTTGGGCACACATCCTGGTGTGAGTTTAAGCCTCCGGGTCCAGGACGCGAACTGCGGTCGGCTACGTGGGAGTCCAGCAACATAGCCTTTACGCTAGCTGCTGGTCCCAGGAGCCAGGCTTTGAGGGAAAGCTACTGAACCCTGAAACTGAGCGCCTGAATGCCTTGAGATCTCGCTGTCTAGAGCCCAGGGTCCTTCTGGAGTCCTGGGGGAAATCAACTGAGCCTCTTGCTGAGGAAGCCTGCCCTCCCCACCCCCAACACACACTGGGGACCAGTGGGAAACTGGACAAGGCCACGGACAGGAAAGCACCTCCAGGGCTGGGCCAACCCACAGCCCCTTATCTTCCTTGGCCACAGGCCCGATGGTTCCCCAAAACCCCCGCCAAGTCCGTGGTGGCCCTGAAAGCACCTATCAAGGTGGAGCTGGTGGCTGGGAAAACCTACAGGTGGTGTGTGTGTGGCCGCAGCAAGAAGCAGGTGAGAGACCCCTACCCCCCTTTGCTGTATGACTCCTGTGGTTGGGGACAGCCTGGTGTCTCCTGGGGGCTTCCACCCATGTTCCTCTTTGCACATATTCTGAGGGACAAGAGGGGTTGGGGGTGAAAGAAATACTTGCAAGGCAGCACCACCAGTAGCCTGGAGCTCACTTGTCTGCAGCCATGGGAGAAATGAAACACCAGAGACAGTAACTCAGCACAGGGTCCTGCAAGCGCTGGCCTCTGCTGGGCTCCCTCCTCGGAGACACCTCCCTGGGCTCTAGCTGGCAGGCTCTGGGAGGATCTCCTGTCTCTTTCAATCTGTCCTCTCCACTTCCAGGAAGCATGTGGGCCCCGAATTCCCAGGCCTTGGACCCCAACTTTGGGAAGATTCTGCCCAGACTCTGCTACCCCCAGCTTTTCCCATGTGTCTCCCCAGTCTTCTCCCAGAAACCCTTCACCTTTGTCAGCTTCTGACTTTCTTCTCCATCTGCCCTGGGAGCCTTTCATCCCACCAGGAACCTTGCCCATATCCTTTGTCCCCTGGCCCCTTTCCTTCCTGAGTGTAGCTCTGAACTGGGCTCCTCCCAGCCCTGTGGCTCAGTGTCAGCAGCGCAGGACCCCAGTCCCCCTTTGCCTCTCCGACTTGCTACAGACTCTGAGCAGGTCTTTGTGAGGGTGGAGCAGTGCAGTCATGCCCTTTGGGACAGGTTGCCAATTTTTATTTGCACACGCCTCTCCTCTGCCACTGTTGGACCTTGACCTCAGGCTGAAGAGGCCTTGGCTCCAGCTCTGCCACTAACTAGCAGGGCATATCACCTCCTGGCCTGTTTCCAGCACTCGGTCTGCTCCATCAGCTTCTGGGATGGATGGGGTGGGGCGGTGGTGGTATATGTTCCTGCACAGGCAGCTAGGTTGCCCTGGGACGTCCCCTCCTCTGGGGGACATCCCCTCCTCAGGGGACATCAGTTTCCTGTAGCAACACGCCTGGTTGTTTCCTGGAGCCAAAGTCACCGCCAGTATTGAAGCACTGTGATGGGCGTAGGCACTCTCTGACCCACAGCTGTTTTTACATGGCGGTGGCGGTGGTAGTGGGCGGTTTTCAGAGTTCATAGAAAATGCACCTTATCGGGGCCAGCAAATGGTGTAATGGTTATGTCGCTGGACTCCCACGTCGTCAAGCATGGTTTGAGTCCCAGACGCAGTGGCTTAAAACACGCCAGACATGTGTGCATGCATGCCCAAGATCCTGAGCGAATGGAGAAAAAGGGATTGTGGGGTGGACATCCCCCCAAGGGGTGATTTCTCACTTTCTCTCTCTCTCTCTCTCTCTCTGTCTCTCCAGAGAGCACACATGCTCTATAGGAAAAATCTCTCAAAAAAAGAAAATGCATCTTATGACAGCACTGTGTGGATTTCAAAACCTTTGTGCCAAAATAAACTTGTACTTTAATTCCACTTTTCATGAACTTTTTGAAGTGTCCTTGTACTAATATCATAAACACTTAGCCCTTTTTGTTAGCTAAGTGCATAGTGGTTGAGATAGTTTTTATTTGTTTCTTTTTTTTTTTTTTTTTCTTTTCAGATTTTGCCATAGGGTGCTTGCGCTTGTCAGAGACAGAGAGAAACAACCTCCTGGGGGATGGCCACACTGTAATCCCTTCTCCATTCTCCTCTTAGGACTTCGGGCTTGTATGCACATGTGCCCGGCATGATTTTCAAGCCACCAGGTCCAGGATTCAAACTGGTCGGCCATGCGAGAGTCCAGCACCTTAACCACCACACCACCTGCTGGCTCTTTTTTTAAAAAAATAATTATTTTAAAATTAATTTTATCCATTTATTTCAATTTGACCAGAGGGACAGAACAAGAGAAAGTAAGAGCAAGCCACCAGGTCCAGGACCCGAACTGAACAGGGGATCAGCCATGTGAGAGTCCAGAGTCCTTAACCACCACACCACCTGCCAACCCCATATATATATTTAATGGCTATAGGGCACATGGTTTCCCAAAGAGAGAAGTGCAAGATCACCCCCAGGCAGGTGGCCATGCCACAATCCCTTCGCCTCATTGTTCTCTTAGGATTTTTGGAACGCAGTCTGCTATATGGAGTCTAGATGCCTTCACCACCACACCACCGGCTTTGGCCCGAGTGCCTGACGATTTCCCTGAGACAACTCTGCATTTACTGTCTGCACATTGCAGATGAGAGGCAAACCAGTGGACCCAAAGCTTATGCTTAACCCCCCTCCACATTCTGCTGTCCCCCTCTATCTCTGCTCCCCCCCCATTCCAGCGGTCAGCCTTTGGTCAACCTTTGATTCCTCTTTCCCCCACAGCCCTTCTGTGATGGCTCCCACTTTTTCCAGCGCACTGGCCTATCTCCACTCAAGTTCAAGGCCCAGGACACTCGCACAGTGGCCCTCTGTACCTGCAAGGCCACCCAGAGACCCCCGTACTGCGATGGCACCCACAGGAGCGAGCGGGTACAGAAGGCAGAAGTAGGCGCCCCCCTCTAAGGGCTGCTGCCACCTAGCCCTAAGTGGCCTTAGCTCCAGGCCTGTCAGGCAGCCTCTCTATGGGGAAGGAAACAGGGCTGAGCTCCAGAAGGGATCACTCGGAGACCCTGGTATCCTCAGCAGCCATAACCTGAGGCCCTGGTCCGTTGTCTGCTGGTGAGATGGCATTAAAGCAGCACACGGTCCAAGTGTTGTTTCTGTGGTCACTGGCACACGGCTTGTCCCACTGCCTGCTCCAGCCTGGAACCTGGCCAACCCGGGCAGAGGGCAGTTCAGCTTCATTCCACATTGGGCAGGCAGGCTGGGCCCAGAGACGAGAGACCAGGGGTCTCACCCACCCTTTCCCCCTTCCCTGGGCCCCAAAGAACTACAGGCTCAGGACAGTATGCAGCATTTATTACAAAGCCAAGAGATACAAATGCCCCAGGGCAGGAAGGTACAGTCACAGGGCCTCGGACACGGGACAAGGGGTAAACATGGACAAGCCCAGTGGCAGCTTCCCACCCACACCCTGGTAGTGGCGGTCTAGCCTCCTGCCTGCTCACTACCTCTCCTGCACCCATTTGAGGAAGACCAGGTGGGCAGTGATCTGCCCCCTAGGGGGCTCTCCCTTGACCTTGCAGGGTGGCGCTGGGGTCGGGGGTCCTACCTTATAGGCTTCTGTCCCCTTGTGCTTTTAGATGCCTCTGTCACTCAGCTGGGGTAGGGAGGAGACTGAAGGACTATTTGCCTTTGGCAAAATCCGAGGTCTGTGCTTGTCTGATATTAACCCGTTGCAGCCCTCTACTCCAGGCCCCCATGGGAGGCTTCACCACCAGTCTCACTAGTGAGGGTTCCTGGGTGTGAGGGGAGGGGGCCGGAAAGGGTGAACCAGTTCACAATGCTAAAGCCACAGTGGAATTTCAAGGGCTGAGGCCTCCCTTGGCCTGAATCTTCTCTTCCACAAGATAAATGACGTGAAGGCCACACACACAGGGGGAAAGGAGACAGGACTATCTATTCCTTGCACGAAGCTTCCACTGCAGGAGGAGGAGGTGAGGGAGGTGAGATTCCCATCTCTACCGCCCACTCGCCCCTCAGGGCCAGGGGACAACAAGCTGCGTCTGTAAAAGGCACTGTCTTATCGATTCTCTGGACATTCAACAATGGGGTGGGGGTGCCGGGCAGGCAGGTGGACAATCGCGGGAAAGAGAACAGGGTAGGCTCCTATACGCAGCCTAAATCTTCCGGGGCTGCTGAGGCCCCAGGTACCCCATCTGCCTGGGGAGGACGGGCACAGCATGACTGAGCCTCTAGTGGTCCCTCCAGCCTACCTCCAGGCACCCCCGAAAAGAGAGCAAAGCAAGAGACACAAGACCCTCTAAAAATGAACACCCCGTCCCCCACATACACACACACACACACACACACACACACACACACACACACACAGAGCTTGTTCCTGTGGCATTAAATTAATCTGGTTGGTCCATAGAAAATAAGTATGTATATTTGGTTTTTCCTATGTACATATATATATAGATTTATTTATAAAACCCGTCCCCCACCCCTAAGGTGGGGAAAACTGGGGAAAGTAGAAGAGGTGGAAAAAAAGGGCCCAGAAAAAGTGGAGGGAATGGAGGGGCATGGCTGGAAAAGGAGGAGAGGGTCCCTTTCCTCAAGTTAAGGGGGGAACAGGCGCTCCATTGACAGTCATCTTGCGCCCCCTGCTGGTGGAGGACGGTGTCTGCAGGCAGTTCGAGGTGCCCCCGTTGGCCGCTGAGGTGGCCCCACTGGCTGCCGATGGGGGAGGAGGGGAGGGAGGGGGGGGGGCTGGGGGGGCATGGGGGCGGGGAGAGC